AACATGTATAAATATTTGAGTTAAAATACTTGAGTTAATATGAATTATGCTTGATGACTGTGGAAGAGATGCATGAAAATCTTTTGTAACCAACTGGTACACTTTCTACAGTATGTATGGATGAGAATTTTTTTTATGTTGTTTCTTATGTTTAAAAAAAAATGCAAAAAAATAATAATCCTGGTATCAGTGCTTGGGATAAAATCCCAGTCTTCACCACTTTCCTGAAGGTCAACAGGGTTGGAGCCACCTGAATATCTTTGGGGGGAAGGATGTCTATAAGGCAGGCAGTGGAGAAGGCAGAGTTGGCAGCCTCTCGGCAGCATTTTGGTTTCCAAAAGAGGAACAAGTAAATTCCATAGAGAAATCCCAAGCTGGAGGGGAAAGGAGGAAGTGATGCAGGGTAAGTACACCCTTGAATCTCTCAGGATATATCTTTTAGGTTAGAACAGGGGTGTCAAACTCACGTCGTCACAGCAATGTCACGTGACATATCTGGACTCCCCCACCTTTGCTAAATCGGGTACAGGCATGGCCAGCACGTGACGAATCTGGCCTGCAGGCTGGGGGTTTGACAGCCCTGAATTTGATGGTTATTGCTTAGTCCAGCAAAATTCTGTTCATTAGATGTAAGCAAATAAAGGTTTGAACTCAACTGGATTTCATTGTATGGTCTTTGGGCTTGGGGGCATCAAGCACCATAACATATAAGATCAATGAAAACACCAAGAGAAAATGAGCAGGAAAAAGTAAATTCTCCACCACTTCTAAAAACTGGAGTGATAGGTAAACCAGGAAATGTAACATTAAGTTTAACATTGTTAAATCTTGTGTCTCCAGTTAGTAGGCAGGTTGGTGCATTTTAGGTGAGGTAAGAAAGAGGAAAGTTGACTTCTGCAACCAGGGCATGGCACCATCAGTCCTAATGAGCCACAGCTGCTCGTTATCATCTCCTGTGAGTCCTCAATTGTTCCTTACGTCGGTCAGCCCTTCTCCTGTGTGCATCCTGAAACCGGATGTTTCTGTGTCAGAGTCTGATAGCAGCTCCAAAGGCTCCAGCCGAGCCACAATACTATCCCTCACCACAGGGCCCTTCCCCTGGGTCTGACGGTCCGGATGTGGTCGGGATGGGTTGTCCGTCTGATAGATTCGCAATCATTTCCTGTGTTTCCTCCTTTGTCCTTTCCGCTGAGTAGACCTCAGCCTGTTTGCCTCCTGATATAACTCCCAAATACTTTCAGGAACANTCGCGCTTCTGTCGGCGCGCTGTTGTGGGCGCGCTTTTGACATCGCGGTTTTAGCGCCGTGGTGTTGTTGGCGCGCTTTAGTCTACCGCGGTTATGTCGTGCCACGAAAGATTAATGACAATGTACTTTGTCTGCATCATAAGCAATAAACATAGGCATGTTAAAATATAAACAGGAAGAACAGTTAGGATAAATATTTATTTCTGGATAACATTTCTTGAATCATGAAAAAACAACACTCTATTCACATGTACACTTAAAACTTTTTAATAAATTACATCCAAGAAATTAAGCAATTTGATCTGGAAATGGGAAATCAAAGGTAAATATAGTATTGCCAGTTGCATTTTACTCTCTTATTGTGATTTGAAAATGTTGGGATTGATACTTACACAAAAACAGGATATCTATTTTAAAAAAGAGCCCTCCAAAATCCTGAATAGCAATACTGCAGAATAATTCAGTCCATGAATTTTTAGTGTCCAGAAAGCTGAGTAGATTGTTCTGCACATTAGCATAAAAAAATACCAGCAGTCTCTCTTCATGGACCACTCTACATTGCATGGCTATTAAGAGACTCATTTGGAATGTTACAAGGGATCATCCAGTACACAATGACAAAGCATTTTAATCTTATCAGAGTCATACTTTTATCTAAATGTATCCATACATTTTAGTCCATGTGTTTTTCTTTTCCTTTGAATCTATCATTTGCATAACATGAATTTGAGGTTATTTAGACAACACTGAGAGCCTGCTAATACTGGGCATCAAAAATAACTTCAGAAGCAATGCTTTTCATTATGTAAATCTAATTTTGCCTACTTTTGGCACAAAAGCAGCTGGTGTGATACTGTGTTCAAAGCACAAGGCATATGGAATTGGGTAGCCTAGACTCTTACCCCGCTATCACTGAAGAAAGAGTAGCCTGTGCAGATGGATGAGGCCCATTTCTCAAAGCAGCCATTCCCAAGCTCCTGCAATTGAGCGGATGCTGTCAATCACACACACACAGAGACACACAGACACACACACACACACGGCTCTTAAGGCTACAACTTTCTTGCAAAAGGCAAGAATACATTCTCTTTTAACTGATGATAGAAGAGAACGTGTCTATGGCAAGGCCTTGGCTCCTTAATCTTGGTTTTCCATATTTCCTACTTGAACAGGGTGAAAAAAATCTGAAGCTGGTGGATGCATTTGACTACAACCATAGCAGATGCTCCACACAAAGGTGGGGAATTATGGCCCCCTTATGACTTATGGGCAATTCCCAGAATTCCTGAACCAGCCTTGCTCAGGAATTCTGGGAGTTGAAGTCCACAAGCCATAAAGGGGCCACAGTTCCCTACTCCTGTTCTACAGGAAAGACCAGAATCTAAATGGCTGCTGCTTGGACCCACTGGGTGGATCTAATGGAGTGGGGGAAAAGGAGGAAGCCTTCTATAAGCAAACTGTGTTTAAAAGATATGCTAAAAGGTTCCAAATTGTAAAAAGAACTATGCATTTTTTTCTGTTCTGGAAAATCCCTATTCTTTGGTCCTATGTTCCTGTCAACATGTACTGTATATGCTTTGAAGTTCATGGTCCTTTGGAGAGAAACAGGCACAAATGCTTCATCTAAAGTTTTCCTAGTGTTTCTTATACACAGACCTAACTTCGTGTATGGCACCCACTCAAACACTTCAACGGAGAAGTCAGTTCAACAACTGCAACTTTTCCAGGTCCCTGACTAGCAAACAAGAATCAGGGCTGGTTCTTATCACTGATTCTGACTCCTTATTCTCTTCTAGCTACCAAGTCCTACTGATCAGGCTGTTGCCATACCTGGCAGCAGATCTCAGCTGAGGATTCTTCCCATAGTAGGGGCAACTTGGAACTTGAAAAAGCTTGTGTGTTGAAATCCCATAGGTATATTTTCCTGATTCTTGAAACCATTGGTGAGCTTGTAAGATCTGATTAATTGTTTATTAATGTCCTCCCCTCTCCCAAAGAAAGCAAAACCATTTTTAAAATTTAAAATGTTTTTTATATTGCCCTTTTATTTTACTCACAATGCATTCATTCTCACAGGTGCTTGGGACATTCCCCTTCTCCCATCTGCCTTCATACCTTGTGACCATTCTCTGCAGCAGATTGGCCAACCAGCTAGACCGAAGCATGCGCACACACACACACACACACACACACACACACACACACACACACACACACACACACAGAGTCTTGTAGCTTCCTTCACGAATATGCAGCCACAGGTTTCTTATGCCCATTCCAAATGAGCAACCAAAGGCTTTGGCTATGGGGATAATTATTATGGTGAGAGTGCCCTGAAAGAATTGTGGTCAGGCACCCTACTAAAACTACGAGTCTGTTACTTGGCATGGCTGTATTTGACCGCAGCCGAAAATGGCCAAGAATGGGGAGCTGTCCAGCACATGCAACCTGCTTGACAATGGACCCTCTTTGAAGTTGTTTTCTGGGGTGAAAAGATGTAGCTTGGCTATCATAAAATTCAAGACAGTAATAATATTATATGGCTTCTACAGAAAGAGTGTGGATTCCAAATACATGAAACTATTAAGAAAGACTGAACATACATTTGTGCAGAACGGAGACCTGATCAGTAACAGCCATGCCCATAAATGCCAACACTTTTATTTCAGATTGGGATCCTGACTTCAAACTTAATTAGCAAAGGGAAATAAATGAAATTACAATCAAATCACACCTTGGTCCCATTGGTATTTTTTAAAAAAGTGCATGCTTGAACAATTAGCCTGAAATCAATAGGTCTTAAAAATTTAACTATGGATGGATTGTGCCTGGAAGCATGCACTTGATGAGAAGCAATTGCCCTATTGATTACCCTGGATCATTTTTATTGATCATTTCCATCAAGGATTATAATCCAGAAAGTTAGGAAAAAAAATAAGAATTATTTATCTCCACAATGCAGCTGTTGGACTTACCACTGCAACATTTAGTACAGTACAGTATAAGATACAATAGTAACAGCTTGCATTCACAACAAATATTGTACGGATAGTGCACATCGATGGATGTGGCTTTTTTCCTCAAACAAGATGAGAGAATGTTAACTATATTCTATATATCTTTATATATTATATTGTTTTATTTTTCCAGTTATATATAAATTTAAATATTAAATATCCAGTATTAAATCAAGGAAATTGCACAAATATAGGTCTCATCCTTTAAATCACACACACATACATACAATCGTACACCCACACATACAAGCCATGATTTTAAACTTGGGGGGGGGGGTTGTAACTTCCTTAAAATGTTATGAGTTTGGAGGATTAAAGCACTCATTATTGAAAAATAGCTCTAAAATGAATTTTCCTTTGTTACTTTTAGATTTCTGAAACAGTTGGCCCCAAACTATACAATTCTTCGATTGTAAGAATATGGATTCAATAATTGAATCCTTTATTCATCTGAATAAAGATTATTTCCAGTTGGTTTTTTGTTTGTTTGTTCTAGTATGGAAAAGCTATGAAAATAAGTCACATATGCAAAGTAGGAAAATATGTCCACCTCTACAGAGAGAGATTAGAATGGAAACACTGGTTCAAATATCCCAAGGGTTTCAACTGTGGAATCCCAACATGGTTTCATTGGCTAACCCCATTTTCTGCATTGCTTCGGCCGGAACCGAAGAGCAGACAGTGAACTGAAGCACATACTGCACCACTTACATTATACCAGTGCTACTGTGAGATGATGCACAAGATGTACAAGGGGGCAATCAAACCTGGAACATTAATGATTGCGGCACTCCTGCATTTCTCTTGGTTGTTTTTTTTAAACAAACACACTGAAGAGCAAGTCACAGACAAGTCTCACGATCCACACCTTTCCCTGAGTCAGCTTTCTTCTCTCGGCGGCCTTCAGTGCTAGTTGGGGGAAGAAGAGAGAAAGAAAGAAGTTGCAAAGTTGTATTCCCGCAACACATCATTTGGGGGACTGAGTAAATGAAGCGGCTTTCTTCCCTTCTCCCCCCTCCCCCCCCCACCCAGCCCCCATGCTTTCAGCCTATGCTCTCATGCTACACTGTTCAATCTGGGACACAAGAACAGAAATGGGACTGCTGTTTGTGGATGATGATTACAAAGAAAATTGTCAACATCACAGATAAATAAGGAGGAAGCAACAGAGATATTTTTTTTAAAACGGACATACAAATCTGCATGCACAAAGACAAAGAAAAGATACAGTACATTGCATGAGGATCAAACAGCAATGAAAATGTCTCTTGCGAAATAACAACTTTACAAGGTATTTTAATTGCAGAAACAAGAGAATATCATCCAATTTATTTGCCTTATTTTTATTATTATCGTTTATTGTCATGACCGTTGTTTGACAGAAAGATGGGATCAAAAGTTTCAATCAATCAATATGTACATGTGCAATCATGCTTTTTATCTGTTAGTAATGTTGTTTCGATGCAACATCAAGAAAAAAGTCATACTGTTGGGGGGGGATGAGAAAAAATAGATGTGCAATATTTACAACACAATGTAATAGGAAGCTTTTACTTGAAAGCTTACTCAAACCTACTATGAGTATATTGAATTTAGTATCTGGAACAGTAAAATATACAATAGGCCAGAACACACAGTTGTAGTTGATTAGTTAGAAAGTGCTGACTTATGCATGAGACAATCTGCACTATGATTGGTTGCTGTAAGTATAAGGGGGTATTTCCTTTCCCCTGCCTTTTTTCTTTTGTGTGTTCTGTGTACCTCATGACACGCCCATGTTCCTGACTATCTTGTGGTTTTTCTTCCTAAATGATGACTGCTATAAGGACTGCTATAAGTTTGAATGGTATGTATGTATGTATGTATGTATGTAAGTAAAGGTAAAGGTTCCGCTCGGACATATATGCTAGTCGTTCCTGACTCTAGGGGGCAATGCTCAACTCTGTTTCAAAGCCGAAGAGCCAGCGCTGTCCGAAGACATCTCCGTGGTCATGTGGCTGGCATGACTAAATGCCAAAAGCCCAAAGAAAGCTGTTACCGTCCCACCAAAGGTGGTCCCTATTTTTCTACTTGCATTTTTACATGCTTTCGAACTGCTAGGTTGGCAGAAGCTGGGTCAAGTAACAGCTCACTCTGTTTCGCAGTGCTAGGGATTCGAACCGGCAAACTGCTGACCTTTCTGATCGACAAATTCTGTGTCTTAGCCACTAAGCCATCGCGGGCCTTTTATTTGTATGTATGTATGTATGTATGTATGTATGTATGTATGTGTGTATGTGTGTATGTGTGTATGTGTGTATGTGTGTATGTGTGTATGTGTGTATGTGTGTATGTGTGTATGTGTGTATGTGTGTATATATATATGACTACAAATTTGTATTAGACATTATCTGGACACCTAATCTATCATTTGCTTCTATAAATCAAAAAGTGTATAATATCATTTTCTCGTGTTCATGCATTTATTAATGTTCTGCTGAAAAGCAAACATTCACAGTATTCTGCACAGCTCTTCCAGTCAGGAAGATGAAAGTTTAGTTACCATCTCCTCTCATAGCTTCTCAAACAGATTTTTTCCAACAATTTCCCAGACACATTTATATGTTGTTTTGTCATGCCCTCTTACTAACTTTCCTTTTGTTTTGAGCAATGGTTACAGTATTTTTCCAATAATTAATCTGCAAAACCTTATCAACGTTTTCTTCAGTTAGATCTTCCACTTCTGCAACTTTACCAGTTTTCAACATTCTCAACACCTATAAGGCTACCTTTTCCTTACTTTCTTCTTGGTATTTCTTCTTTCTTAGAATTTATTTCAATTGCACTCTTCAGCATATTGTTATCATTCACATACAAATCTCTAAAACACCCATTCCACTCATCTTGTGGAAACACACTTTTTTTTTACTTTTCACCATCACTTGCTTTCTTTCCTACTGTTTTTCTCCCAATAGACGTTGTCTAATATTTTTCACTCATCCTTAGTTTCAGCGTTAATCATTCTCTTATGTTCACTTTTTCTTATCCATGGCAACTTTTACTTCATTCCCCCTTCAATACTGTTTTTCATGCTACCCATTCCAGTTACTTCAATAACACTTAATAATTCCATTCACTTAGTTCCAAGTATCTTCCACAACTTTTTCCTTGCTTCCACATTCCATTCATTTTGTTGTGATATTGATCTATCTAACATGTTTTTCCACACAGGATTTGTACTTTCTTTTTCTAAAGTTATTCTACTTTCATTCATTCTTCTATGAATTTCTTTCATTTCTCCCTTTGTGTCTATGTCCAGTCTTGACATTACCAATCAATGGTCTGACCCATTTTTAAAATATTTGATCATCATTTTATTCTTCACAAATTATCTCAAAATTTCATCATGAACTAGCAAATAAATTAGCAGTTTATATCTACTTTCATCCCTTTGTTGCATGTATTCATGAATAGACTAAAACTTAAACCACATATTCAAAAACAAATCTTTTTCTACACAGATACTTGAAAAATACTCATCATTTTTATTCTATTTGTATTCAAATGATGCATTATATTCTGCATTACCTTGCCTTGCCCACAACTATCCATGTGGTTTCTGTCATTTAACAGAATAATTCTGCTCCCCTCCATCACATCTGTTACATAATGTCCACCAAATCAGAACTCAAGTCAGTCAATTACCATCATTCCCTGGCACAAGAATATGCACTTACACAACCCTAAACATTTATACAATTTCACAGCAACTAAATGACACTAATCCATATCTACTGATATAAAATTTACCCCTTTCATTCATAATTAGACTACAACTTCATTTTTGTGCCCATATTCATCAACTCCATTCTCCTAGATCAGACCACCTTTATTCAATCTGTTCCACTTTATTCCTATTTTCCATTCTTTCTCTTCATATCTATTATTTTTATTTCATTACATTCATTCATGGACTGTATCATTTGCTATTACATTGTACATAGCTGTTTTCCATTTGTTAGGCTTAGCATTACAAGGGCCGCTAAATATTGACTTCTACTGCCTATCATAGTTTTGATCATATAAAGTTTTCACATAATGCATTTTCATAAGATGAGACTGTATGGATTGTTACCAGTCTTAGCTGTACTTGTGCCACAAATATTGCTCCCTGCTAATAGTAAGGGCAGTAATGTAGAATTTTGGCACATTTTGGTTAGTATATTACTGGCACAACCAAGGCCCAGTTTTACATCTATGAACTAAATATTGTCTTGCAATCAAACATACTGGCTCCACATTCTAACAACCAGGTCTTTTCAGATCTAGAGCTCCTTTGAAAAGACTTGCTGTTCTGTTATACTTCTGTTATTATTGGTGTACAATCTAACTTCACAATTTCCTGTCAGCGCAGGCTCTTCTCTTGTTGCTGAAGCTTACAGAATAACAGAGGTCTCCTAGTCCAACCTCCTGCTCAAGCAGGAGACCCTATAACAGGGGTGTCAAACTCAAGGCCCACAGGCTGGATCCTGCCCGTGGGGTGCTTAAATCTGACCAGCTGGGCCGGCCTGGAAATAACACAGACCGCAGTGCCTCTGGCAGCCAAAACTGGACATGGGGTGGGGGAGGGGACTGCAGGAGGTGTCTGTCAGATCCCCCCCCCAAGGCAGCCCATGGAGGAGAACTACAATGCTGATCTGGCCCTCGAACAAATCCAGTTTTACACCCCTGCCCTATGCCATTTCAGACAAATGGTTGCCCAATCTCTTCTTAAAAACTTCCAGTGTTGGAGCACTCACAACTTCTGGAAGCAAGTTGTTCCACTGATTAATTGTTCTAACTGTCTGGAAATTTCTCCTAAGCTATTAAAAAAACAGCTTGAAGGAAGATATTCACCCAGAGTCAGGATGGGCATTGGAGACTGTTTTTCAGCCTATTTTCCAGAGAGTTACAGTGGGCCATTGTTAGGAATATAATCTAATGGTTGGGTTGGCAATATATAAATCATGTAACAATGTTGTACCTGTTTCTTTAAAGCATACTGTAAAATGTGATTGGTTGCTGTTTTCCTCAATCGGCCATAAGAGGGAGCCAGAACGACTGTTAGCTCTCTGTTCGTTAGATGCTGGGCTGATCTGATCTGAGTGTTTTTGGAAGCTGGAAGTGCCGTGAGCTATTGTAAGTTTTGCAACTGTTAGCAAACTTTGAGTACCGAACTGATTATATGATACTGGACTATGTTATTTGGATTATCCCTTAACTGAAAGACATTGATGACTGACTGTTTTATCTGTGTATGACTTGGACTGTTTGATGGACTCTGATACCTCTATTTCCACGAAAATAAAAGCCTATTTAAACTGCAGTGCCTCTTATGCTGGTTTGTGTGTTCTCCAACAAAACTCTAACAACACTTCTCTGAACGTACTCGCTCTCCCAACGGGGAGCTTACCTAACAGCCATGTTGACATAAAAGCATTGGATGGGAAATGACTATTGTTTGGGGTTTATTTTATGTTTGTGAATGGTAATGGGGATGGTGAAGGGAGGGAATGAAAGCAATACAGCTCCCAGAGCCACCTGCTTCTCTTCCCATCCTTAATGTTTGAGGGGAAAAGAAACATGACATTCAAATACATTCTTCCTTTCATGAAAAAAAAAAAGAACACCAGTGACCATGCTGACTGCAGGATGAGGCTGATCCCAGTCTGAAATTATGCTGTTGCAGCATCTTACCCAATGGAATGTATGAATTAATCTCAAGATCGTCTTGTTTATGCTGCTGAGGGAGAGGAAGACCATGGCAAAAGCAGCGTGCTATTTTGGGGTGACAAAATACCAAGACTCAAGTTGACATCTTTCCTTCCTGCTACTTTATTAAAGTGAAGGATTATGGCAGGGGTGAAATTCAGCAGATTCTGGAGAACCGGTAGTGGAAATTTTGAGTAGTTCAGAGACCTGGCAAATACCACCTCTGGCTGGCCCCGCCCCCATTTTGCAGTATCCTTCCCCTGGAGTGGGAAGGGAATGGAGATTTTGCAGTATCCTTTCCCTGCCACACCACCAAGCCATGCCCATAGAACCGGCAGTAAAAAAAATTGAACTTCACCACTGGATTGTGGCTAAAACAAGTATCTCTTCCAAGTTTCATGTGTCAGTGTTATTCATGATATTTGGTAAAATGAAGCTGAATGCATCCACACAATTTTCCAAATGTGCTTTTCGTATCCTTTTGAAATGCATTTTGTCTCCCCAAAATTTACATACTATACATTTGTGAACATTTCAAAAGATACCACACAGTAACAATCAAGACAAAGGTTTGGGGAAAGGATCTTACCTTTGGGAAATCAGCTTCTAGAGTTTAGGAAGGGGAGCTTATGGTAGGAATGTGATAATGGAACAATCAAGTAGAAAACCATGTTAATTCAGAATGAATAGTAACTGAGGGAACAGTAGTTAAACAAGACTGCACTTACCTCAACACTCTACACAGAGATTATCACACAAATAAACCTGCCTTTTACGCAGGGGCCTAGCAGCCTTGGAAGAGGGAAAAAGTGAGAGAGGGCTCCTTATGCCCATATCCTCTATGCTCTGGCCATTCAGAAGTAACCTACTTCTAGTCATCTCCTTATGGGAAGGGCCCTTTCCAATTGTTACTTATATGCATGTTACATCTTCACTTATGATATTTTATTCAGACAGGAAAGTCCACCTTCTTTAGACCTTTTCTTCCTGTCATTTAGGAGTAGCAATTCTATTAGGTTCTCACTCTGGAGCACAGTGTCCTTTAAAGAAATAGTGTCTCCCTCCACTCCTTTCCCTCCTGCTTTTCTCTGTGTTGTATCTATTAGATTATAAACCTGAAGGCAGAAACTATTTAATTGGTTTTTTTTAAAAAAAAAAACATATCTGTAATACCCTTCCCAATAAGATCACACCAGAAAATAGATCAATTCTGGTTTATATGAGAATCAGCTTGTATCCGCCAGGATCTCTGTAGCACCCAGTAATTCAGCTCAGTTTTAAAAGAGGTGATGACAGGAGGGACTGAGCAGGCCCATCATAAGGAACCCTTTAGCATTATCAGCACATGTCTCTTGTGCTAGTTTTAAGAGTCTATAAACACTATACAATGTCTGCTGCTTTACTACAATTATATTGAGAGAAACAAGCTCTTTTTGTGAGACAAGAAGATCAGGAAAGAAGAAGGGACAGAATGGAGAATGTACCTGAGAAGTGTGCTAAGCCTTTTGTTGTGTAGTTTTACAAAGAAAGGAGGGTTCAGATGAAAGATTACTTATATCCCACCCCAGTACGATATAATTTCCCATATGGAGGACTCTGTATGTATGAGGCATGAAAATCTGTGTCTATATCAAGGGATTATATTGATTCCCAGAGTGATTCTAGCTATCCCAATTCCCTTGATGATATACACTAGTCCAAACAGACTAGCAGGGATCCATGTGGGTGGCACACAAGCTGTGCTGTCCAGAGACCTCTGTGCCAGGGATCCGACATGTGTGCTTCAATATGATTTCTTCAGAGAAGAGCCCTGTCTCAATCCAGTGAGCTCCAGTGCAAATAACCATTTGGATTGAAGAGAGAGGGGAAATGGGGTGGAAATATTTGCCTGAGCTGCTTCTAGCTTATGGTATTCTAGAGGTTAGCCAATATGATCCCTGAATAGAAGCACTTTTTCAAGGGGGCAAAGATGCATTGCAATATTTTGTTCTAGGCTCTATTTCTACATCCTATAGAAAATTCTCTTGGAGTTCTCATAGTTTTGGGGAAGGAAGGAAAAATTCCCAAGTTATACCCCCCAGGGTCTGTAAAATCTTTACTAAAACAACTGTGGGCAGTTATAAAGGTCAAGATGTTGCCAAATTAGAGTTTGCAGGATCCCTTGTCACTGGCCATCTTGACTAAGGTTGCTTAAAGGTTGCTAGTCTGAAAGGCCAGGCGGTTACTGCCGCTATTATAGAAGCTGCGTGTTGGTGCAATAGCTTAGTGTGTACATATTTAGGGTGCACTTTTATAGGCTCTTCGTTCAGATTGATGTTATATTATTCATACTTTGGGGATTCCCCCCAAAATCAATCGAATGCATCCATGATCACATTATGTAAATCTAAGTAATAAATGTATATGCTTTTACTTTGCTAAGCAAAGCAAATACTTGATCCTCGGCTACCATGAATTATGAAATAAAAGGTATCTAGAATGGAACCTGTTCAGCTTAATATACTGGATTCAGTCAACCTCACTTTAAAAATTGTATAAAATAAAAATATTTTAAAAACCTTTTAGCAGGAAAGCTGGACTCCTTGTCCTTGGCATTTTCTGATGTTATCAACATTGTCTTCCATACATCTGATTTTGCCATCTCATCAGAAATATTTATTACAGATGGGTCATCTCTAGAATAAAATCGGCGCATTCAGAGTCACAATCAAACAATGAATTTTACCATTTAATGCAGCCAAAGGAGAAGAAGTGTGTCCGTCTGTTTTAAGATATTCATTCAAATGACCTGCTAGACCTGTGTGAAAGTTTCAGTGGGCAATTTATTTCAAAGGAGATTCAATCAAAGCATTCTTCAAGGGGAAACTTTCGATCAAATGAATTGAATTATTTGCCCTCCATTCAGTTTGGAGTGATTCAATTACAAACTGAAGATGTAATGGATTTCCTGGTTGAGTTAAGAAAGTGGCAACGGCATTCAAAGATTACTTCTCACCCTATTGGTGCCACCTTCATTGAAACACCTATTTTCCTGGAGGGTTCAGGAAAAGGTGGTTACTTTCAGGTTACTTCACATCACCAACAGTGATGTGTGCATACATCATCTCCGAATTTCCTTTCCCACTTCAGATTTGAGTGGCTGTGCACCATTACGAAGAGCTACCCCCCCCCCCAGTGACAAATGATCTGCTTTTCACATGGCAAAAGCCTCCGCTTGCTCCCTGGGACCTCCAGGGGCTTCTGGCTGAGAGTCACCCAGAGCCACTAATGGGCAATTATGAAGTAGAAAGAGCCCAGCTCTGGAACTAAGGCAGCTTCTTTATTGGGCTAGACATGATCCAGCTTTACCATATATAGACCAATAGGCATTTTTAAAAGTTTAGCTCCAAATAAGAGCCAAACCAGAAATGAGCTGGGAGTTATATAATCAAATCCCCACTTTTTAAATTTTGCCCCAGGGTTATGATCAGTGGTGGGTTTCAATTTTTTTAGAACCTCTTCTGTAGGTGTGGCCTGCTTTGTGGGAGTGGCTTGTTGGCCACGTGACCAGGTGGGAGTGGCTTGCTGGCCATATGACCAGGTGGGAGTGGCTTGGCAGTCATGTGACTGGGTGGGCGTGGCCAACTTGTAAAATGTGAACTCACTTAACAACGCTCTTGCTTAGCAACCAAAATGTTGGCTCAGAAATTCTGGCATTTGAAGCACACAAGTCTTAAAGCTGTCAAGTTACAAGACTCCTGCACCCCTAACCCTTTAGAAAAAAACAACCCAGGGGTGTTCAAACTTGACAGCTTTAAGACTTGTGGACTTCAACTCCCAGAATTCCTCCTCTCGCTCTTCATCTTGATGTGCGGACGGATGGGGGGGAGGACCTGGAACCGGTTCTAAACAGCACTATAGATTTGTGGAACCTCTTCTATAGAAGAGGTTAGAACTGGCAGGAACCCACCCCTGGTTATCATCATCAAAATCAAAGGAGATGCAAAGGTTTTCTTCTAGCACAGAATGAAAGCGATGGGGCTTTTGTTTTTTTAAAAATAGAAATCACAGAATTTGGTTTGAATCTTGGGGTTAAAAAGGGGGAAATATTTTTATAGCTTTTATAGCTTTCCAGTTTAATTGGAAAAAGGGGATGGGGGAAATAGTTAAATACACTCATCCTCAATCCAGTTATGAAACTACTGCATTGCATCGCTTTTGGTTCTAAAGCATCAAGAGAAGCCAAGATCCACTTCCCCACTGACAGGGAACACAATTAGTTCTGAGTAGTTTACCTGCAGTGTCCTTCAAGTGGCAACTGGACTGTTCCTTCCTCTTCCATTGCTAACATACTTTGTTCCTCCTAAGACCAAAGAAAACGGAGAGGTTGACCAACAAATTATTGCAGCAATATTGCAATTTTCAGATCCAATCCCTTCCCCTTAAAAAGAGCATAATTTCTTCACTTCTTTTCCATCCAAATGGTTTTTTTTAATTGTTCTGAGAAAATCAAATGTCATTTCAGTGATTTTTCTCATTCATAAATCCTCTTAGAAACTGTAGGTGCCAAAAGTTAGGCATTTGCTCTCCCCTGCCAATTTTGCTGTACAAATCAAGATTAGAAAATGAGAAATGAAAATGAAAATTATGAAATTAGATAGAGATGATAGAGAGAGAGAGAGACAGACAGACAGACAGTGAAATATGATAGACAGACAGATGATATAGAGAGATGCAGAGATAGATATAGAATAGAAGATACTGTAGATAGTCCATTTGCAGTACTTCTCTTGTTTTGTGTGTAATTTCTATTTATTTCAATAGAAATAGCACAACTGCATTTTGGGAACATTCTATATCTTCTTTAATTTCATGATATTCTCCTCCTCCTTCAAGCAGTCCAGCTCAGCCAAACAATACTGATTCCCTTGCCTTGATTTTGCCCAATGGCAGGAAGCTTAAACCAATTATGGAATCCTTGGTGTTTGGTTATTTTCTTGCAGACATTTCATTATCAATTTAAGTAACACCATCAGTCTGTAGGCAAAAAAGCAACCAAACTCAGAGAGCACCAAGGATTCTACAATTTAACCTTAAACTACAAATATTCTCTGAAACCCATGATGGCGAACCTATGACATGTATGCCCGAAGTGGCACACGGAGCCATGCCACTTGGCACGGGTAGCGGTGCCCATTCCTTTTCTGGATTTCTGGTGTGCATCCGTGCGTGATGATCAGCTGACCTTCATGCGTGCAGAAGTGCCGGAAACCGGAAGAAGTGGGATTCTGGTTTCCGATGCGCACATGCGTGCCAGCCAGCTGATCGTCAAGTGCGCATGCATGTCAGAAACTGGAAGACCAGCTGACTGGTGTGCATGCATTCCCCAGAAACTGGGATTTCATTTCCAGGCAACTCCTCTTCCGGGTTGCGGCCTTGAAGAGTGTGCACGCATGTGCGCTCCCTTTTTGTCACTTGATGCTGAAAAAGTTCGCCATCGCTGTCTTAAACCAATTGCCTTATTGGAGACCTGGGGTTTGAAACTCAGTCATCTGGCATTAGTCTTATACTCTTAATTGAAGAGAGAGCAACAGATAACCCTAATAGCAACTGCATTCAAATAAAATTTGGTACTTCTGCCAGATTGTTTCCATTCAAAAATCAGCTATTTTTGATGATTTTTTGGCTTTTTTTTTACTCAATCTGCTGGACAAGTAGCCACTAGAGGTATGATTAGCTCAAGCGTTATACTTGATAAAAGAAATACTATAGTGAAACTCTTAGTTTGTCATCTATTATCCCCGATGGTTTGGAAATGTTACTTCTGTAAATGCAGCCTAAAACTGCATTTGCCCTTTAAAAAAAAAAAGCAAGTTTATTTATAAACATAGAACTGTGTGGAAAAGCAATACAAGAAAGCGGCATTCAAATGTGGTCAAGGTATAAAAATGGCCATACAGATTCGTAACAACAAATCTATTCTAAGCACCCCTTTGTAAGTAAAGACATATGTATTGTGTGGGCAGAGGGAGAATTGGGGGGGGGGATGGAACAAATGCATTTAAATGACTACGTCAACATCAGCAATACAAGTTAAGTTAGTTTCCCACTTACTTCAATGGGAATTAAATAAAACTACTGTATTTTTCGGAGTATAAGACGCACATTTTTCTCTCAAAAAAGAGGCTGAAAATCTGGGTGTGTCTTATACATCGAATACAGCATTTTTTGCCTCCCGAAGCCCCACCCTTTCACAAAAATGGCCTTGCCTAGCCTTATGGAGGCTTTCAGAGAGCTCCTGGGGGTTGGGGAGGGCAGAAATGAGCAACAAATAGGTCATTTTTGCGCCCCCTCCAGCCCCCAGCAGCACTCTATAACCCTCCATAAGACTATGCATGCAATTTTTTTTGACAAAAAATGGGCCCGTTTTCGTGAACAATTGGTCATTTTTTTCTCTTTTTTGCCCCCCCCCCCAGGAGCACTCTGCAAGCCCCCCCCAGGCTATTTATGCCTATTATTGGGGGGGAAATGGCCCGTTTTTCAGAGGTTTGCAGAATGAAAAAAAAATTTTTCCTTTTAGAAAGCTCTTTAACTAAAGAGAATTACATTGATCAAGTCCTGTTCCAGCAGAAACAAAGTCTTAAGGTTTGTCAGTGATTTCTTTCTCCAACACATGGATAAATACACCTGGAAACATCTACCTACCTACCTACTCTCTCTCTCCCTACCTACTGTATTTTTCTCTCTCTCTATTTCTCTCACTTTATCCCTCTATCTACCTACCTACTCTACCCTACCTACCTACCTACCTACTGTATTTCTCTTTCTTTCTCTCCCTCTATATCCCTCTATCTACCTACCTACTTTTTTTTAAATTTGCCTCTTCAAAACCTTGGTGCATCTTATACTCCAGTGCGTCTTATACTCTGAAAAATACGGTAACCGTATTTGCTATGATGAGGAGCTGTTGAGATAACAGGATTTCCTTTTTTGGATGTATGTCTGCATCAAATTTAATTTAAATCAGGAATATCACATTAATCCATGACATAATAAGTGGCTGAGAATAAATATTGTTTTCCATCTTGATGTTTAATGGTTACTATTGATGGAAATTTACTGTTATATTGAAGATCAAGCCACAAAATGAATATCTTGATCCAGTCAAATCAGACTTTTAAAAACATCTTGTCAACTTCATTTCTATCTGTAAGGGGAACAGACTTCTATTTTTAAAGCCAGCATAATGGTGTTTTTCCAATTAAATTCCAGAGGCTCCATGTCAATTTTTTTTACTTCTAGTTAATTTTGTCATTTCTAAGCTTCACAGTTTCCCAGGATTTTGACAGCTGAGCAGGTTTAATAATAGCCTCAAATATTTAGTAATACCATAACATATAAAAATAGGGGCTTGGAAAATATAGCAATTGAAAAGAAAAAAAATACTTATTTCTGTTTTCCTTTTTGCCACCATTCATATTTCTAAAAAGAAAAGTGCAACATACAAATCAGACCAAAACAAATGCATCCCTGGACAATCCAAAGAAAATATCTTGTCTACATTTGACACTTCTCATTGTAGGAGACAGAACATATCACTTCTGTCGGGCTTGGGTGCATGATTCAATTATTTCTCCACAGAAAAGTTGGGTAAAAGAAATCTGAAAGCAGGAAAATTGCTACCTATTGATACATGTTTATATTAGGTCTCCCTCTTCTGAACTGTGGAAATCTGGATGAGCAGTAGATGGCAGCAAAGAGTTAGAATAAGCAAGAAATCATAGGGATTTTTGCAACCAACATCTGGTCATTCTAACTCATACTGACTTTTCTATTTCTTATTCCCAAACCTGTACTATTTCAGAGAAGCATAGACAGATCAGCGGTACCTTATCGATTCCTAGGAATAACTTAACTTTGGGTGAATTGTAATTATTTCATGTAGCACTTCAGATTTAAAACAGAGCTTTGGCTACTCCATGTGGAAATACACTTCCTGTCTGCATGAAAAATGTACCAATGTAGGCCCTATCAACCAAGCCAAAAATCTTGGTTTATACTTATGTAAAAAAAAAAAAAAAAGACATACAAATCCACTCTTGGTAAATTGGCCACCTTTATCTGCAGAGCCACCTGTTAGATTGCTGTTTTCAAAACAGAATTTTAATAAGCTTAATTAATAATATTGGAGAAGGAACAAAGAGAGAAAGTCAAAAGAAAGAGACCGTAAGCATACCTCTTTTTCAGCATCTTCAAGTTTTTTTTTCTTGCTCTCTGGCATCAAATCATCCAGCCAGCTTAGCTCACGTTTGGTGAAAAAGAAGTCCATGAGTTTTCTGACGAACACCAATGCCAAGACCTAATCCAAATATTTATACTATGGTAAGATTATTGACAGGCACAGATGACATATTTATTCTTAGAAGGGAAAAAATCAAAGTCTACAGTTCTAAAATTATTTGCAAAATTCCCTCAAGCAACGCCAATAATTACTGCTACATGCATGTAAGTAATTTATCTGAATTATAGGATGAAGTGGGTGTGATCTGTAAGAGAAATGTTATCCTTTCATTATGAAAAAGAATTTAGTAATAATCACATCCATGCTCAACATAACTACTGTCCCTTAAAGACAACACTGACTTTTATACGAATTCAGAAATAATGGATCCATACCATCATCGGAAATACAATGGCAGCCCTTGAAACTTTAATAACCCATAGTAACACAAGACAGGTCAGCTGGATGACTGTGAAGAGATGGACTTTTCGAAGGGGAACATGCCTTAGGTAGATGAAATCTGGCTGGTGTTTGGCAGGCATCCAGAATAACTTGATTCTGTCAAAAAGCTAACAAAGAACAAACTAATTGTTTATATTTAGAAAAAGACATTATTTTAGAGATCTTCAAATGAAATGTTTAGGAGAATAAGGCAACCACTTTAACAAAGGCTTGTCCATTGTCTGCCTCTGCTTATGAATTTGCATGCTTATGATTCCCAATTTCTGAATTAATCTTCTGAATTAATCTAATTCAGAAAAGTGTTTAGAATTGCCAGTATATGTGAGAAGTTATTTAGCAGATCCAGAGTGAGGTTGAAATAATTCAGAAATAATCCACCTTGAGCCATGGTGGCACAATAGTTAGAATGCAGTATTGCAGGCTAATTCTGCCGACTGCCAGCAGTTCGATTCTCACTGGCTCAAGGTTGGATCAGCCTTCCATCTTTCCAAGGTGGGTAAAATGAGGATCCAGATTTTTGGGGGCAATATGCTGAGTCTGTAAACGACTCAGAATGCTCTAAAGCATTATGAAGCAGTATATAAGTCTAAGTGCTATTGCTATTGCATCTAAATTCCATTCTTTCAATATACACATGAAATTTTAAATAACAAATAAATATATAACACAAGCGTCCTCCAACCCTTTCCTCCCAGAGGTGTTTAAATTAAACTACCATCATTCTCCAGCTAGCATTGCCTTTGACTCTTCACTGGGGATAATGGAAAGTTCAAATCTAACATATCCAAAGTCTTTAAGTTGGAGAAAACTGTTTGAAATCCATGAATGCAAACAAACGTAGCAAAATAATTTGGCAGCAGCCATTCTAGCCATTTCTGGAACTCAGGGATGGAGCAGAGAGAATTTTTTTTCGCCCACTATTCAAAATTGACTGATTCACCTGAAGGAGAGGAAGTGGCCAGTTTCAAATCTATTTTCTCCTCATGTATACACATATATACACACACACACACTTATAGTAAAAATATATCAGAACAATATATAATGGGATTTGTTGAAATCATACTGTAGTAAATCTATTTTTTACTGAAATTTCTTTTTATACATTTGGTGGTATTTTTTGTTGTCAATATATAGATCTTGTCTTTTCACTTACAAATAAATAGTCTCCATTTGAACTACCATATTTTTCGGAGTATAAAACGCACCTTCCCCCCCCCTAAAACTGGGTGAAAATTTAGGTGCCTCTTATAGAAAAAATACAGGTGGTTTGGGGCTCCCAAGTCCTCCGTGCATTGCATTTTCACCGTCCCAGGCCTCCAGAAGTACTCTGCAGTGCTCAGCATGGCCCATTTTCACCAAAAACAGGCCCATTTTTCAAAAAAAAGGGGGGGGGCTCATTTTTGGTCTCCCAAGCCCTCCATACGTCATGTTTTTTCCCCTCTCATGCCCCCAGGTGCACTCTGCAGGGCACAAATTGTCTGTGTTTTTTTGGTGAAAATGGGCCCATTTTTGGTGAAAATGGGCCC